TGGATTACCAGTGTCATTTAAATGTGTCTACTGTATTTATTTCCATGACAGCTTACAGAAGGTCTGAAAAAGGAACTGGGGACTCTTTTGTGTATTTCTCTTGTGTTACATTTGTCTGTTTACAGTATTTTTCTTCTACTGGAAAACGAGACTTTGTTCAAAATAAAGAGCCCCAAAAACATTTTCCTAGGACTCAACCATTTTTCCATACCACTGAATAATATGGAAATCTTCATCTAGTAGGGCTTTTCTTAAAAATAAAAAGTAGAGATTCCCTTTATTCTCCAGTAGATAGGATTGCACTCCTCCTGGTTTCTGTTACCCCCCTTAGATGGAGAAAGACAGCAAAGCTTCTAGGAATGTGATATCTTCATGCACTGAAAGTTCTAAAAAACACCTGGCTGGTTCTAGATTTTCTTTAGCCATAATCAGATGCACCTGTCTGGGGGCTCACATTATTCCTCTCCTGGAGCCTGACCGCTATCTGTTTTTGTGAGCTCCACAGAGATGCAAAAGAATGGGCATTCCATTTTCAGCCAGTCTTATTTTAGACACTTTAGAAAGCAGAGAAGAATCTCCGTATACTTTGTTCTTACAATTAATTATTTTCTGTTTTAAAACAAATGTACCCCGTTTGGATTTTTTCAGCCTATCCTGTTTGCTTTCTTTCTGTGTTTTTTGTTTTTTTGGTTTTTTTTTTGCAGATATTCTAGAGCCATTTAGTCTTCTCCATACTTTCTGCTGTGATGCACCTCCAGCATTGCAATCAAATAATTCCTCAACCTTTTTTTAAACTAAAGATTACACTGTTTGATAACTTAGGAATTAACTGTAGTTCCTTCAGCCCTTAAATAAGTTTTCTTCTTCTCAATATTTTTTTTTTCTTTTTTAATCTAGAAGAGAGAAAAAGAACTGTTTCTTCAGAAATGTGCTTATAAGAATTTTGTATCTACTCTCACACTAAATGCATCATTTATAATTAACAGCTTGGTGAACTGTAGATTTAGTAATTAGTTGTCCTTGAATTTTTGTATGTAGACCTGTATTGAATGAACTTGATGGCCTGTAGTCTCACAAGACCAATATGGTGTTACTGGTTGGTGTGGGCTAGACAGGGAATGGGGAACGAACCTATTTGCAGATGTAAGAGAGATATGCATGGACTCAGTGCACGTTACTGCTGTGGTTTCAAGAAACTTAGAGTGACAGATTAAAGGCATAGTGGCTGGTGAGAATAGGGCTTGGGCAACTACAGTTTGAAGTATGCAGTGCCTTCATGATAGCTTTAGATTCAGGGAATCAATTTCTCTGAGCAGTGAGCCTCCTTGTCTGTGAGAATACTAATGGTCCTGGTAATTCCCTGTTTATTACTTCCTGGTAGTATATTGATCATTGTTTTTCCATTCTGACCTTGTTGCTTCTCAGGATCTCTGCGAGCTTTAGACTGCATTAACGCAGATTGTTTGATGCAAACAATACAGATCAGCTGAAAGCATCAGGCTGTAACGGATGTAGCCATTTGCTGCTAACCTAGAGGTTCAGGCAGGAGTCATGCTATCCCTGTCCTTCTCTCACTGGCATTAATTTTCCTGAGTTCACAGCCTTGGTTTTGATCAATTATTCTAACCATCTTTTCAACGTTTTCCATAATAACAGCACAACATGATAGAGAAGAGCTAAGCATATAGATGAGATGGCATGCAGTTGTCTGAAAGCCGTTATGCAGCCCTTCATTTTCTTTAATATAAAAACCTACAAGTCTATAAACCTACAGTTAATTTCAGCTATAATTGTATGTTAACTTTCTGAAGTTATCAGTGTGATCTTTGGCATCAGCAGCAGATGTAACACCTTTCTCCCAATAGCTTTTGGTTGGTGTAGTGGAAATGACCCAGTGATTGAGCACCTGGGGGGAAGGCAGGGCCAACCCAGGGAACTCAGCTGTATGCAGCATACCTGAGTGACCAGCAGGGATGGAGCCAGGATCCACTTCTTCCCAGGCCTCATTTAAGTGTTGGCAGTAGAGAGCAGGGTATCTTGTTAGAGATCCCTGTGTACCTGAGGCCTTCTAGATGTAAGTAGCTTCTTTTCTTTATGTCTATGCTAGGGTTTGTTGCGTTTGAATCAGTCTCACTTGTGGCAGTCTAGGACTTTGATACTCTGCTGTCATCGTTGTGCTTTCCATCATGTTACAGCATTATCATTAGTTATTGTGATACTTGAAACATGCAGTAAAATCTGTTGCTTTTAAGTGTAGATACCTAAATAAATGTGTAAGTATCATAATATCAATAGATAGCAGAGATCAATAGAAACTTTACTTGAAGACAAAACTATCTATTCCAGCTTTTTAAACAGCGACTTACTAAAAAGACTGAAAGTGATTTTGATTTTTCATCTTTTTATCTATTTATTTACAAAATTTAAGAACTTTATAGTGTGCTAGTATTTTGTGTTTAAGTATTGATGTCGTATTGTTTAGAAATTTTGTGTTAAAATTGCTCAGCAAATCCTATGGAAAAGTATCAGATTCTGCTTACAATTAAACATTTTTAATGGACTTACCTTAAAAAGTATGTATTTACTTATAGAGTAGGTTTTGTCATTGTCCATGAATTAACAAATGTTTAACACAAAAATTAAATATACATGTGCAGAGTAAGTCGTATCTTCTTTGAAGAGGATAAGCACTATGTTTAAGGAAGAATCCATGAAATTCTCCAGTAAGGTGGTAAAAGTAACCATTTCAGTAACAATCTGTGATACAGAAGGAGAAATGCTAGAATGGTCTATATTCTGCTAGCTTTAATTTTGGGGATTTAACAGTGGCTATTTTGAACAGTTTGTGAAATAAAAGTATTTTAATTATCTGTTGAAAACTTTGTCATCTTGAAATGTTTTAGGGAGGATGAATGAGTAATAATTATTCTTTTGCTGTTTATTCCCTCTTCTTTGTCTTGTTTGCTTGATCTGTAATACAGTCAGGTTGAGAAGTTTTTCCAGTTATACGTATCTTTACTGGTCCGTCCAACAGCATTCCAGTCCTAGTAGTATGTGTGGTAATCAAATATACCACTGTGTTTTTTGGGTTTTTTTAATGAACTGTATTTGACACTTGCATATTTAGTACAATTGGTAGAGGAAGAATTAAGGCTACTTTACTAGAAGACTAGCATAATGAGAGCATGTTAATGTTTACATTATACTGCCATGGAGCTCAACGGGAAAAAAATATTTCTGTTCACTGGGAGTGGAGTAACAAGGAAAATCTATTGCTTCAAAGAGCATTATTACTTTGTAAATGGAGAAAAGGCTTGCTCTACCTCCAGAACGGAGGTGTAATTCTCTATTCTGTATCGAGTCTGTTTTGTTGATGCACTGTTGAACCACTGAACCATTGCACTCATTTTTTTCCTGTAAATCTTCAGTAAATACAGACTGAACCAGATATGTGGTAAAAACAGCTGATGCAAAAATTTGAATATATATCCTATTGGCTGTATTTTAGACCACTCTGAAGGATGGTATGCTTTGGTGGGGTGTTCTGTGAATCAGTCACCATGATACAGGGACCTATTATGGCCTTCCAGTACTTGAAGGGAGCTCTATGAGCAAGAGGGAGACTGACTTTTTACATGGGCAGATAATAATAGGACAAGGAGGAATTCTTTAAATCTGAAAGAGGGAAGATGAGATTAGATATTGGGAGGAATTTTTATTTACTTATTTATTTATTTTTACTCAGAGAGTGATGAGGGGCTGGCACAGCTGCCAATAGAAGCTGTGGTACCTCCTGCGTGGAGACACTCAAGGTCAGGTTGGGCCCCTGGGCAGCCTGAGCTGGTGAGTGGTAGCCCTGCCTGTGGCACAGAGTTGGGGCTGAGTGGACTTTGAGGTCTCTTCCAATCTAGGCCTTTCTTATTGTTCTTGGATGCAGGGCTAAAGGAGTGTTTGAAAATGTGGATCATGAAGAACGTACTCCTTTAAGAGTAATATCAACTCCCTTGGATAATCCAGTAGTTCTAGGTAAAATGTGTCTTTGAGATCCTTTCCAGTAAAGGGAGCAAGAGGAAACCTGCAGTAGTGTGCTAACGGCAATTCAGTCTGAAGAACGTTCGAAGGGAAAAATATGCGAATGGGATATTCCACTTAACACATGCATGTATGTTGGAAACTTTCAAAGAAAACCTCAATGTGGCACAAACTGATTAAAAAGAAGGAAATGGAAGAAATTATTTTTCCTCCAGGCAATTTTAATAAGATTTAAGTAATTTTGTGTATCTTTTTTCATTTCTATCCTGTACTGGTAGTGCACATCATTTTATATATTTGCTTTGTGTTTTCTTACTATTTAGTGTGTCTGCAACAAAACTGTAAATGAAATGAATGTGGTAGAGAATTCCAGCAGGCATGGCTACACAGCCTGTATGGGTTTAAGTTGTATAAAGTCATAGCAGTAGATTATCTTTTTTTAAATGGTAGATGGCAAAATATTGGTAAGACTAAACTGTTCTGGTGTACATCCAGTTAAGCAGCAAAAAGATCGGCCTTCATACAACTACATCTGTTCATCAACTTTAACTTATTTCATGATTAGATTAAGATAAGGGCACAATACATGAAGCCAATTCTGACTCTGATTCTTGTTCTTCTCCCCCTTCCTGATTGTTCTGTGGTCATATCTGGGCTTAGGGCCTTCCTGGATCTCACGGTTTCTCCCCTTCCCTGTGCCGTAGAAGATTTTTAATGGCCTTTCAGAATAAGTCTCTGAAGTGTTACTTCTTTCTAAGAAAATAGACTTTGCAGTAGATGTGGTCAGTTGGATGATGGAACTAAAGCGAGCAAAAGTGAGCTGCTACTGCTGTCGTTCCATGCTGTTTATATATTGTAGGCTTTTTGGTTGTTTTTGACCTGCAACTTTCAAGTAAATTTCATGAAGTCAGTCTGTACTTATTGCTTGTTTTTCCTCTGTCTTAAATGTCTCTTAAATCTATTTGCAGCTGGGTCTCGGGCATCTTACAGCAGCCAGCACAGCCACCTTGGCTCCGAGTTAAGGGCACTGCAGTCTCCAGAACATCATATAGATCCTATTTACGAAGACAGAGTTTATCAGAAGCCCCCTATGAGGAGTCTCAGCCAGAGTCAGGGGGACCCTCTGCAACCAGCACACACAGGCACATATCGCACTAGTACAGGTAGGTGATTATAACTTGCATGATTGTCTTTTTATGAACTCTGTCTTACTCTTCACTACTAATTCTTCTCTTTCTGATGAGCTAAGCAACGTGTGTTGTGTGCATGTCACTAAACAAAATACCTGTGTAGATGCAGCTATCAACAGAACCCTAAAAACATGCACAAAATGTAGAAATGCGTAGTGCTGTATACAGTAGCTTAAGCTAATTTGGAGAGAGGGCTTACTCATAAGGAGAGTGCTTCTATTAATCTTTTGTATTGTCTCCAGATATTTTTTTATTGAAGTGATTGCTTTTTTTTTTTTTTTTGCTTGCTAAGTTATTTTGTGTTTTGCAAAGGGACTGCAAAGTTCCTTTCTCATGAAGCTAAAGGATTGCTCATTTGACTTTCAAGTGCTTCATATGTACATGTTCTTCCTCTTTCCTGCACAGATAAGTTTGTGCATAGGTACCTAGACACAAAATTGAACTAAAGCACAGACAAAAGCTGTTAGCATCCCTGCTTTATCCATATAATAATTGTCCATGAACTACATCAGTGTACAAGTCATCCTCGCAGAGTGTCCTCTCAGTCAAGTGAAATGCAGTTGTATGTTGAAACATACATGATCACAAATCAACAGGGGTGTTTATGGTATTGAATGCTCAAAATAATTAGAGTTTATAGGCGCTACAGCCAAAATAGCCTAAAGCAGATGTAGGAAAAACTTGCCTGAGGAGTTGAAAGTATTTCTAGTGTTTCGATCAATGCAATAAAAACAAATAGGGAAGGTTCTGTTGGTTCTCATGTCACTCCTGTTTTCATTGAGGAAAAAAAATGTTTTGTTTTGTTTTTTATTTTAAGCTAGTTTACTTTTTAAGAAACTTATTTTTGAAGTCTGCTAAGGGCCAAGTTGGCAGTTCTTGCATGTCTGAGGTTTCTGGTGCTTTATAAAAGTTATGGGTGTTCAGAGTAAGAGAAATACTTAAAGAAGTTAATCACAGAATTCTTTAGTTAACTAACTAAAGCTTTGTAGTAATTTAAAGTACTTTAAGTCATTACTTAACTAAAGTAATTTTAAACTTTGTGAAGAGTATTTCCTTTCAGTGAAAGAAACTATCATAGCATGTTTTGTGTAGACATATTTGTTTGTGTGTATATATACGAAGAAAGATTGCTATTCTTTGCATGACTGGGACCAAGACATCTGTGTAAGTCACTGGACAGTAGTGGTAGCAAATAAAGGCAACTGTTTACATGGAGCTTTAATCCTTGCATGCCACGTGCAGCCTCTTATTTTGTATGCAGTGCACTCTTTCCCAATCATGCATTGAAGAGGATTTCTTGTTTTGCTTGCAAAATGTCCTCTGAGTTTCTGTGCAGAACTAGCAGGCTATCTTGTGATTATCTTCACAACACCTCTGTAAGTAAGGAAACCCTGTGAAACTAGATCACAATTACAGTGGATGAAACTGGATCACAGGATATTAGTGGATAATACATGAAGACAGCTTTTTCAGAAGGAAAGAGCACAGACACTGGTTTGGATAGCTGAAATGAACCCTGTGACGGTCAATTTTGTTTTGCTGTGTTTGGGACTCAGACTTCAGCATTACTCCAGATTTATCCTGACAAACTGCTACATTGGTCTAGCTCTGTGTTTTGTTGACCCTCCCTCACTTTTGTCTCCCTTTTCTCCCCCCCCCTTCCCCCCCCCCCAGCCCATAGCTCTATCACTGGCAAAAACAGAGATGGAAGCATGTCAGGCTATCCTCTGCACTGCTCAGTATGGGTGGTTGCTGTCAGCCTTTTGCACAACCAGCCTGAAGAGCAGTCAGTGGTCAGAGAGAATCTTGGGCTGGACACACCAGCTCTCAGGCTCCTTCTACCACAAATGTGCATGCTTCTGATTATGGAGGCTATATATGTTTTCTCAAATTAGCAGAATAAATTGGTAGGAATCCAACTTAAGTTTAGCACATGTAAATTTTCAGTTCTTCACTGCCTGTTTCTTATTTCAAACTGAATAGGAATTTGCTTTCACTATTGGTGTAGGAAAGGAGGGGTGTAGATTTGTGTACTCCCTGAAGATAAATGCAGATTTTTCAAATTATGTTTCTTTTGTGTGCATGAATCACACTGGGGGAGAGGTTTAGAACTTTCTGCTTTTTTTTTTTTTTGTAGACTATAGTTCACATTGTTTTATGTATTACAACAGTATCTTTAGTCTTAAAGATTGCACATGTTTGTTTTTTTTTTTCACATTTGATGGAAAAAAGAGAAGGCAAATGTAGTTGAAGGACTTTGGATGAAGTCTGATTTTGTTTTTTTAATTTTCTTTCTCTACAGCTGACATTTCACACTAGAAACAAAAGTTATGCAAATTATACTTGGAAGCCATTTGCTTCTATGACTTCTCTTTTGAAAAGAGAGAACTCCTCCTGAATTTGAAGCTTCCACATTTCTGACTCAGAATGGAAATGTTTCTTCCTTCTTTTTTTAAAATAGGCATCACCTCTCTCTTTTCTGAGCTCTGAAGTAGCTATTGCATTTGGGAATGTTTACACAACTGAGGATAAAGCCCACTCAGTTTCTCATTGCCTGAGTGAATCAACATGCTGTGAACAGAATTCTAAGATTTCTCTGTGGTGTAAATAACACAAAGTGAATTTAGTGTACATGCTGTATTTTTTAGCTTGTATTTTTAATTTCATGTTTCACTAATGAATGAAATGCATGACCATAGTTGTATACTAAGGGCTACATATTGCAGAAGGTACGAATTAATAGGAGCTTGTAGAACATCTTTCTTCTCAGTATAACATCAGATAGGGGCAGGGACAAATTCTTCATCACTTTGAAGTTCGAGTCATGATTGGGTGCGTTCCTGTCATGCTGTCTTAGCTAAAAATAGTCTTTCAATCTTCACAGCAGTGGCTGCATAGGCTTCTTTGGCCTGTAGTTTTACATAGCAGTTGCTTCTGGTCTTAAAAAGGTGGTGCCTTCTCTTGTAAAAAGTAGTAGCCTAAACTTTTGCATTAAATTTCACAATAAATTTCTAAATTTACTTACTGAATAGGAATTTATTTGTTAACTAAATAACACTAGTAAGAATTTTTTTCCAACCAGTCACCTCATTTATTTTTCTTACAAACCTAAAGGCATTGCTTTATTCATTAAAATTGTGAACTAATGACAGTAGAGGTAAACTTATTTGGTGTGATATTTACATGAGTGCTGCTGGAATTTAGAGAGTGTTGTTACTTAAGAGAGGAAAAAGATTCACTTACAGCCAGCACGCACAGGTTGCAGAATAATTATTCTCTCATGCATTTGCTTAGTTTGTGGAATTGGAGGTTAGGACTAATGTTTTAGTCTTATTTAAATCAATTATTGCCATTTTATTCATGCTAAACATGAATCAAGTCCGAGTCTGTAAAATCCAGCTGTTTTGTAAGCATGAAATTTTTGTAGTTTTTCTGAAGAGAAGGCAATGTGTCTCAGGTACCAGGCTCTTGGTTTTGACTTGCAGTACAGGAACATGGCTATGACACCAATAGGTGCTTTGAGATCAGTTGCTATTAGCCTTAGGAAGCTGACAACTCTGTATCTGGTAATGCACAAAGGCACTTGTCTTTCACCAAGGGACCAATGAAAACAAGCCTTCTTCCATAAAAGGATGTGGTTTCACAGTAAAATTATTAAAAGCTTTGAAAAAATGATATTCCGAGCGTTCTGGGGATGGTGGGATGTAAATGTGTTTACCTTGGACCCTCCCCAAGCTGGGCCTGGAATTTTATCAGCTGAGAAATGTGCTGCTCTTTAAAAGCAAGAGGGTTGCTGATAAACTGTGTATGTGTTGAGCTCAGAACTTGCCGAGCATTCATGCTGCAAAGAGTGTTTCTTTGTTTTCAAGGTGACTATCATTGTCCTCAACCTCACTCCAGTGGTAAGGAGGAGCCAGCAATTAAACAAGAATGAACCTGTCCTCTCAGCTCTACAAAGGATATGTTTCCCTTGTATCAGGGCTCCCCTGATACACCACTGAAGAAAGCTGTAAAGTGTTGCCTCGGTGCATAGGTTGGTAACTGTCTCTGCTCCTGAAGGCCACCATGATGAATGCCTGGTGGCACAGCTTGATCACGGGAAGTCTAGCAGCTTTGTAGAGTTGTGCAGGCAGATAACATTAGTTGTGAGTGCTGGGTGCTCGGACCCAGCATTCAGAGTGCTCTCCTGTTATTTTCAGAGGTTGAGGGAAAATCTTGGAGAAGAGGTTGGAGTCTGTGGTGGAACAGGTTTGGCATTCCTGAAGTTAAAGAGAGGATCCCAGAATGAAAGTTCTATTGTGAACAAGGTCAGATGGTGGAAGGATAAGCACTCAAACTTTGTATTGGCTTTGTATGGTAACTTAGTATAGGAAGCAAAGTGTTTATGAAGCATGGTTTCTGGGCTGGGGAGCGTGTGTGCAGCAAGAACTCTCCTACATTGCTTCTCTCTACTATTTTTGAAGCTGCCTGACATCCCTGTGTACAGTAGCTAGGGTGCTTGCAACCTCTTCTATAGCCTCCTCTCCTTCAGATCAAGATCTCTCTGAGCATGCTCACACCAGCACTCTGTGGCTCCATCAGCACAGTGCTTCTGAAGATCTTTTAATAAAAGCTGTGATGGCATGATCTGTTTGGGCTCCTGAGTGCTGTGGTAGAGGATGCTCTTCAAAGAGAAGAGGCCTGTGAAATTTGTGATGGCAAGTGCAAAACAGAAAAGTGGCTCTTTGTTGGCTGGATTTGTGTGAGGAGGGAGGCCACCAGCAGGAGCATGCAGCAGTGTTGCTGTGGTTAGTCCAAGGGGAGGTTCTTTGGAGGGAAGAGCTTTTTGCAGTAGACCTGTCCTGCGCCAGGAGGATGTCACGCTTCAGCAGCAGTAACCAGGCAGGAATGTCCTTGCTGCAAGCATTTTCAGTGATTGCTGTTCGCTTTTGGTATTCAGTTAAGGGCACGGGGAAAACACGGCACAGAGCCAC